TGCCACGATTCATGATGCCGCACATGCACCAAAGAGTCCTTCCTGCCTCTGTGGGGTGATCACAATTGGCCCTGTGAGTGGGAGTATGCATAGGACCATTATCTTATCGGCTGGAAAAAACAAACAATAACGCATAGCCTAAACGTTGAGAATTACATTTTATTCAACTGACATACTGATGACTTAAGCCCAGGAGGCAGCCTCTCATATAGCTCTGAGGGGCTGTTCCAAAGAGGTAGAGGAGGAGCCAGGATATATAGGAGTTTTTGCAACAAAAACCAGGTAGTCGGAACATCAAAAGAATACTGTTAATTAAAGGAGAAAAACAAACATCTTAAGTTAATGAACTCAGCTCTTTGCTTGTAGGTAGAAGATGCAAGAGTCTGGGTTCATTGACATCATTCCTTTGATATGCACCTTAACAAGCTAGGGCTGGTGCCCTGTTTTACTCCATCCCGAATCCCCTCAGGGTGCATAGTCCAGAGTGGCTTCATTGGCTGTTGACTTGATGTTTGCAACATCTTTTGTTTACTGACATGGCAGGTGACGTTTTCCATTCACAACCTCCAGGATCTTTCTCATCGTGCTGCCCTGCTCGCTGGCTCTGCTGCCGTGTGTTTTGAGCTGTGCTGCTTGGTGCTTCATTTGCTGAGAACTAAGGAGTCTCTGTCGTAGGTTCAACAGAACTATGTCAGAAGTTTCCATAGTTGGTGTTCAGGAACAGAGTATGGGATGGGGGCCCTCCTTCAAGTGGCCATGGGTTGTGTGCCTCCTCCAGGTCTCCAGCTGGGACCTGGGTGCCTCTCTCTTTCCAGAGGTCAGGGGTTGGGACTGAAAGTTCCAATCTTCTAATCCCTTGGTTGGTTTCCCTGGTAACAACCCCCATTTCTTCCCCCTCCCTTCTCTCCACCTCATTAACATAAACTCAATTGGGGTTACTGGGGTTTATTTCAAATAACAAAAGATGCTCCTCACTTCCCCTACCAGTCAGGAAATTCCAAGAATTTTAAAAAATTCTAACCAGAATCCAGGAAGAAAACCAGATGTATGCTAGAGACCCATGGGAGGGCTGTGAGCTGGAGAGAAGGTTGGTTCTGGACATTAAAAGACCCCTCTGGGGCTGTCTAGGGGGTGGGCTAGAGGGGCAGGGAGCCTGGAGACTGAGGATCCAGGGAGGAGGCTTGGGTGAGGGTCCAAGGAGGTAGGGATGAGGCAAGCTGGGGCTGAAGAGAATCGGAGAAGGGAGGAACAGGCCTGAGGAGGGGCAAGGAGGAGGATGGTGTCTAGGTTCAGCTTAGTTAACTGGCAGGTGGTGGAGCCTCCCTGAGCTAGAGGACCAGGGAGGGGGATGATGCTGAGCTTACGGGGGCCACAGTGGGAGATGGGTCCAGGGGCATCAGGGAAGCCTCTGGCTGTAGATGGGGAGGATCAGAGCTCAGGAGACAGGTTTCAGAGACAGGGAGATGCAAATGGTTGAATCCAGCTTGGGAAGGATAGGATGTCCCAGAAGAAAAAAAGCAAGCTGGATCCTGGAGAGAACACGTATCCCAAGGGTCTGGATGGGGGACCAAGTGGATGAGAACGGGCTGGTGGGGACAGATGATGAGGTAGGTTTGGGCTGCCCAGGAGGCTGTGGGAAGCCCATGCCTGAAGCTGGGGAGAGACCTAAGAACCAACCTGCCCCGGGTGACAGGTGAAACTGTCAGGTGTACACAGTCAATGCAGGGAACATGGCTAAGCACAGAGCTCTGGGAACACCTTTGTACAGGCACTGATGCAGGAAAAAAAGGCCTATTCATGAAGGTAGGAGAGCCTGCAAAGTAGGAGGGAAACCAGAAATGCATGGCGCCCTGTCCCGGCAGCCAGGAGAGGAGGGGCCGGCGGAGATGAATGCTGCGGAAAGGTTGAGTAAGATAGAGACCGACAGGTGGCTGCTGGATTGCTCAACATGGAAATCTCTGGAGACCCAAAATGATATGGCTGTGGGGTGCAGGCAGTGAGTAGATATCCATGGAGATGTTTTGCTGGGAAGGATGGTAGAGGAACAGGGCAGTAACTGAGAAGAATTGTAGGGTCTCTGGTTCTGATTAAACTCTGTGGTCCCAGCATTGCCCAGAAGAGAACTGGGCACACGGGATACTGCAAAATGTTTGTTGTTAATTATCATCCAAATATATGAATCATCCAAATATATGAATGAATGTGTGAATGAGACAGAAATAAAATGAGAGAGAGGTAAAGATAAACAGAAGAAAAGATTCTGTCATCGAAGTCAGCTTTGACAACTCCTTTACAAAGAAGTAAACTGGTAAGGGCAATTTTAGTCATGTCTACCTTTAGCATCGCTGACACCCTCAACCCATCTTTTGTTGCCTTGTTTGATGACCTCAAGAGGAAGTGGCAGGTAGACATTTAGCTTCCTTCCAGCCCCATTTTTCAGAGGGACAAACTGAGGACAGGACAAGAGAGTGTCCCAGTGGCTGCCAGTGAGTCATGAGATAAACTGAGGTTTCATCCCAGTATGAATGTTGTCAAAAGCTATCCTCTTTCTCTGAAACCTGCAGAAGCATGTATATGTTCATCTCTTCTCAGTACACTCATTCATTCATTCATTCATATATTTGGATGATGATTCACAATACAGGTTCTAGGCTATGGAAAACAGTATGATGGTCCCTTAAAAACTAAAAATAGACTTACCATATGATCCAGCAACCCCACTCTTGGGCATATATGTCTGGAGGGAACTCCAATTCCAAAAGATACATGCACCGTAATGTCCACAGCAGCACTACTTACAAAGCCAAGACATGGAAGCAACCTAGATGTCCATTGACAGACGATGGGATAAAGATGTGGTGTATATATGCAATGGAATACTACTGAGGCATAAAAAAGAATAAAATAATGCCTTTTGCAGCAACACAGATGGACTGAGATTATCATATTAAGTGAAGTAAGCCAGATAAAGACAACACATGATATCATTTATATGTGGAATCTTAAAAAATGATACAAATGAACTTATTTACAAAGCAGAAACAGATTCAGACATAGAAAATAAATTTAGGGTTACCAAAGGGGAAACAGGGGCAGGGATAAATTAGGAGTTTGGGATCAGCAGATTCATACTACTATATACAAAACAGATAAACAACAAGTTTCTACTGTACAGCACAGGGAACTATATTCAATATCTTGTAATAACCTATAATGATAAAGAACATGAAAAAGGGTATATATATGTATGGCTGAATCACTATGCTGTACACCAGAAACTAACACAACATTGTAAATCAACTACACTTCAATTAAATATATATATATATATATATAT